CAAAAAAAAAAAAAGTAAGAATAAAAATAATCATGTCAGAGTATGTAATGTACAATGCTCGAGGCTTGTGTACTGACATCAACTTTGCTCTATGTTGAACCAGGTGCTTCTATTGATACTCCTGGATCTTCCTGGACTTCTGTTTTTCTCAACATTTACACTTCTTGTCCTATTTTGGGCTGAGATTTATCACCAGGCAAGTAAAAGACTTATTGCCAATGTCTTGTTAAGTTGGGGAATACATACTTGTGAATGCTTCTTATCTTTTGAACTACAGTGACACATTCTTGATCATTTATCCTTATTAATGGGCAGGCAAGAAGTTTACCGACAGATAAGCTCAGAGTTTGGTACATTTCAGTTAATGGTGCAGTGTACTTCATACAGGTGCCCTATATCACTCTTATACTGCATCACCTGCTCATTTTCAGTATGCTTAAGTGGTTGTTTTTTGGAGATTTCCAGATAAAGTACTATTAACTGTATATATAGTTGACTGTATTTGCTTGAGGCACAGTTACGATCGTGTCTTTCATTGTTTTTACGTACATTGATGGATATAGCTTTGTATTACTACAAATGAGCCATGTGCGTGTTGAGGGTTACACCTTCTTGGTCCTTCTGTACCTAATGTTCATGGGCATCGGATGTCTCTTTCTAGTTATCCTACCTACCATCATTTCATGAGCATCCTAGGACTCGTTCTAGTTATCCTACCTACCATCATATCTTTTGAATTTCTAACAGATTATCCATTTTTTGTATACTATGGCCACATTTAAGAAGATACAAAACTGTCAAAACAAATATTAGTTTGGATATGCTGTTAGAATTCATTGTCTGCATAAATTCTTACCAAAAGAAGTGTTTATGTCAGGCTTGTATTTGGGTGTACCTCTGGATAGATGACAACAGCACTGTGGAATTCATTGGGAAGATATTTATTGCCGGTTAGGTCTCATACTAGTCAGTCAATCTACAGTCTGCCAAGCTTTATTTGTGGGAGATTGAAACTAACACTTTCTGAATTTGTAACATGTATTGCTTCTTTTGGTTGAGCATTTGTACTTACTTCAATATTTTACTGCAGTGGTATCGCTTATAGCAGCATTAGGGTTCCTGCTATATGGAGGAAGGTGAATCTTCTGAATTATTTTTATTCGCCACTTTGCACATGTGGAGCAATCTGTGGTCTAATTTGCCCACTGATTTTTATGTTTGTATTTTTTCATGTGAATTTTCATGCTTCCAGATTATTTTTCATGCTGAGACGCTTTCCGATTGAATCTAAAGGGAGAAGAAAGAAACTTCACGAGGTCTGTTTGTGTTCTATGTCATCTTATTAATTAGATTGGGATGGATATTTGGCATATCTATTTTGTTGCATCTTCTTGGTTATATTTTTTTGGATCAGTCCCGCACCTATTATTGGTCTTAAATATTTATGTTTTATTTTGTTTTTCTTTTGGTAGTGCACTGACATACTTATAGAGTATCAAAGCGTGGTATGTTGATGGATTTGCTGACGATTCAAATATTTATTGATGAAGTGAATCTAATAGCAATTTATCTTACTAGCCAATAATTCATTGTACAAGTTGATGCAACATAGAGAGTTCCATTATCATAGAGGTAAATGATAAACCATATAATTTCTCCTTTATAGATATCATCAGAATGCATAAATTTGGAAGCTCATTTTTAATTTGGAAATTGGAGAACATATAGAGTGTCCAGAGCCAGACAAATCTATTTATCACCTGACTCTAAATTTCACACATTTTCAGGATTCCTTACCCGACCTAGCAGGTTTTGCAATATATAAAAACACAATAGTGGTCTAAATATTAGAATTTTTCAGTAAACAAGGCATGTAATGCAGCATAAGCAACAAAAGCTAGTACGTTTGTGTGTGTGTGTGTGTGTGTGTGTGAGAGAGAGAGAGAGAGAGAGTCAATTATCCTTATGATGCTTGTGTATTTGGCCCCCTTTATCAGAGGGGCTGGAATGGGTGGATTGGATGCAATATTAACCTTTGATATTGTTCACACAGTGACTGCTCTCAAATCGGACCACCCATGAACTCATGGTTGTTAGCATGCTTGCATGAGATAAATAATTCACATTCCTTACAACCTGACATTTACAATAATAGAGGCACAGAGCCCAACATATCATAATGCCTATGCGTTTGGATGAAACATTGTTTAGAACCTCTTGTAGGCAAGTTTCTTTATCATATGATTTAAGTTCACAAAAATATGATTAGCAAGCATCTTACAAAACATTATTCCCGTTTTAAAATGATGATACGATAAGTCATATATATGGGGTGGTGCCTTTATTTGAATTGTGGAATTTGAGTAACATTTGTTTGTGGGTCAATCTAATTATTGCTGTAATTTTGATAATGAATATGGATTCTTAGTTGTATTATGGTGCATGTTTGTAATATCATAAGTATGATGGCATAGCAGTTTGGGGCTTATAATAAATTGCATCTGCACACATGCGTAAAAGTAGCTTATGTAATGTGACTCTTCCTAAGCTTTCAAATGTCTCTAATCAGACACCAAAATGTGGAGCAGGTTTACTTCTCAGACTAGCTGGGTAGTTGTTTTGCTTCTATTCTTTGAAAGCTGGGGTTTGAATCTATGTGACACCTGTGACTCCTGTATAAAAGAAAAAGTTCTAGTCATTCTCTTTCATCTTTAATATCCCACCCCACAAAAAAAAAAAAGAATAAAGAAAAACCATTTTTACAATTTGGATTCTATAAAACTGCTGGCCTGTTGGTCCAATTACCTTTGTTTGAGTGTTGGTTCTATTGATAGTCTCATGATTCCGAATCAGAACCAATCTACTTGCCCTTCCAATGCCCAAAAAAAAGAAGAAAATAATAGTCCTTATCCAAATTAGTATTGTCGGACCTAACATTCTAATTGTTGCAGGTTGGATCTGTGACGGCCATATGCTTCGCGTGCTTCCTTATAAGATGCTTTATGGTAAGGTTCAGACTATCTACTGCTCATTATTTCTGGAAAGATATGTTTTCTTTGCTAATGCTTAAAGTCAAATTCAAAGATCTTATAGGTAAAGTGAGTTAACTCTCTGTGCCTGTCTTGTCGGTGAAAACTAGAAATTGACACCTATTTTGATCACTTTGAAGGGTCAAGTAAAATCCTCAGAGTAATGAGGCTATTAGTTATTTAGCAGTTTGTGCTACTTAGGTCAAATGTCGATGAGCTTTTCTGCTTGTATGATGAACTCAAGTCTTCATATGCAGGTGGTTTTATCTGCTTTTGATTCTGATGCATCGCTTGACGTACTGAATCATCCAGTTCTAAATCTGATCTATTATATGGTAACAGCACCTGTACATTTCATTTTGTTATATTGCGTGTTTTTCTTCAATTGTTTTCACTTCTGTTGTTAAAAACAGGTTGTTGAAATCCTTCCTTCGGCGCTCGTGCTCTACATCCTGCGCAAGTTGCCTCCTAAGAGAATATCAGCCCAATATCACCCCATTCGATAGCCATGGAACATCTTTGTCTAGGCCTTACTATCCTTTTCACCTCAAAAGACTGGTTTTGATGGCTCCGGCTTTAGAGATTAGTGCAGTTGAGTAAGAGAGAAGCAGAGCCAGAAAACAAGTCCAGATGCATTTGTCTGGTATGGCTCATGATGTCAGTGATTCTCTTAGTAACATGTATGATACATGGATCTCTTTATGACGAGCCAAGGGAGTTGTGTTGACTTGATTTTGTTCATGGTTTCCTGGCTTGAAGATTTATTTATTTGATTAAATTGTGTCCTGTTGCCCTAGGTCTTGTAATTTTTATTTGAGAGGGTGTTTGCTAGCATCATTCTGCATGTAACAATTATTAGTGTCACTCAGTGTGCTATGCTGTTGTCTCTTATAAAACAATTTTTTGCTAGTCGGAAGACTTGTACTATTATTTCTTCAGATGAATGGTTGATCTCTATTTCCTGTTTGATTGACTTGTTTCTCTAATCAGCTTATGCTCTCTATTTACTTGTTTAAAGTTAGACCAAATGATTTGTCTTAACAGGTTGCAGCACCAACTCCGGGATCGGCTCTCTACGGGTGGAGTTGGCGAAAAACTGTCAACTTGAATACTGCAACCCGTGAATTTGACCACATTGATCTGCAGATTTGGTTCATTCTCTCTCCTTTTTCTGTTCTTTATGATATTTCCCGGGTTCCATTCATAACCCCTTATCATATCCCAAAGTAATTTCCGTCCGTCTTAACAACCTATTTATTTGCACTGATGGCAAATAATTTCTGGGTCAAAGGACTAGTTTGTGGCTGTGGCTAGGGATGTCAGTGAACCGAAGCGGAGGCGGGGGTGTAGTATCCATTCCCGTACTTGCTTAAAAAAATTTCGTCCATTCCTAGACCACCTCCGTTAGTGGTTGTAGTTTTCATCTCTATCCCCGTCCACGATAAATTTCTTATACCCAATTCTCCACCCCCGTCCCTGCTTCCCCCGTTCCCGCCCAAGTCAAAGCCCGAACCTAAACCCAAGCCTAAGCACATAATCTCACTGGAAAAAATTATTTTGGTATAATTTTAAAAGAAATTTGAATGACTTTATGCAATATAACATGAAATTGGTAATTCTCTGTCCTATTCTCTCTCTTTTTGAGCAGTCATTCAGGCAGATTCGGTAGACTCTTATATTCATTGCCACGTCACAATCTACATGTCAACTTTGTAAGATGATTTCAAACTCTTCACAATTAGATATAAACAAAGATTTGGAAGAAGGATTGTTCATAAGTCCTAACTGTTTTATCTTTACCCATTGTTAGTGCATGAACATTGTTGTTACAGTTCTGTTCGGTAGAGAAACTCACAAGTAAGGATATCAGTAGTAGACCGAAACGGGGGCGGGGAGCGTAGCCGTCATCCCCATATCCACTTAAAAAAATTATGTCCATCCCCGGTCCACTCCTGTTAACTAGTATAGTTTTTATTTTTATTCCCGTTCGCAGGTAAATTTTTAATCCCTGTCGCCGTTCCCGCTTCCCCTGTAACCGTCCAAGCCCAAGCTCAAGTAACATAATCCAAAATTTTAAATAAATTCAATATTTTAAATAATCCAACAACACTCTAACATAGTCTAACACAACATAACGTAGATTACAAAATGTAAAAGCCAAAATAATATAGTATTCTATTTAAAGNTTGGTGAAAACTAGAAATTGACACCTATTTTGATCACTTTGAAGGGTCAAGTAAAATCGTCAGAGTAATGAGGCTATTAGTTAATTAGCAGTTTGTGCTACTTAGGTCAAATGTCGATGAGCTTTTCTGCTTGTATGATGNACGTAGATTACAAAATGTAAAAGCCAAAATAATATAGTATTCTATTTAAAGTGTCATTGGACTTCAAAAAGAAAAACATAACTATAAAAGAAAAAGAAAAATTAAATTAAATTAAGATAACGATAATACTACACTTGAAGTTTCCTAGAAGAATTTTTGTTATTACAATTCATATTACAACCATAAAATGTTAAAAGATGAAAACTTAAAATTTCGTTAATTCAATAATTCTCCTCATTTCTTAATTCACTCTAACAGAGAAACTCAACAATCTCCGTTCATAATATTTCTACCCACGCTGAAATGTAAACCTATCTTACTCTCTCTTATCTGTTTTTAAAGTATGGTCAATTACAACTCCTAATAGTTTCAATCAGTGAACACAAATAAAAAAAAGAACAATCAGAGAAAAAAGTTGATAAAGATTATCACATAGTAATGGCGTTTTTTAGTTTGATTACCATATTTCTAGGTTGGTAGTTACAGTAAATATATTTAGTTAGGGCTTGACAAGTATTTTTATTTATATATGTATATAACGGGTAGCGGGAGCAGGGAGGGGTGGGGCGAGGGTAAAGATAAGTCCATTTTTGCCTTTATCCCCATACGGGTATCCCCGTATACATCTACCGTCCAATACGTATAGTCCATCCCCTATCCAAACAGGACGGAATTGGACGAATACCCATTTTTTTTCGATCCACTACCATCCCTACTCACAAATATGAAATAACATTGGTTTCATGAATACAATCAGACTACCGAATGCATGCTCTTTTCATTCACCAAACACCAGATTGGTAGAGCAAATACCTTCTAATAATTGAAACTCCACAAAGCCTTTTACAAAAAATCACACCAGTATATATCGATCCTGCACATGATAAAGAGTGTATATATATATATATATATATATATATATAACGGGTAATGGGAGCGGGGTCGGGTAAGGGTAAGTCCATCTCCGCCTCCATCCCTGCACGGGTTTATACAAGTATTCTCGTATATGTCCACTGTCCAATACATATAGTTCATCTTTGGTCCAAACGGAATGAGTTTGGACGAATACTCATATTCCCCCGGTCCACTGCCATCCCTACCCGTAAATTTCAATGTGTGTGTGTGTGTGTGAGAGAGAGAGAGAGAGAACGGAGCACTAGTTGTGTTGCGTCTTAAAAAATAGTAGTATTCAAAAATTATTTTTGAGAAAAGTTTTAGAAAAGTATTTTTTGATGTTATATCACATAATTTGTTTGGTCATATGATTTTAAAAATAGTTATACGAAATAAAAAATAATAAAACTTATTTGAATAATAACCTCTAAAATAATGAAAATAGGAATGTGGTAAGAGTAAGGTTGTGGTGGTGGGAAGCGTAGGTGGTGGTGGTGGGAAGTGTTGGTGGTGGTGGCGGTGGAAGTGTGGATGGTGGTGATATTTTCTAAATTCTGAAATTTTTTTTCCAAAATTACATAACAGGTATAATTTATTTTTTAAATCTATCCATTTTTTATTCTCAATTTGCAGCTGACCAAACAATTTTTCTCCTATAAACTATTTTTAAAAATAGAAAAACAGTTTATGAAATATAAATCAAACAGGGCCAGAGTATTCTAAGATAAGGTAGTCAGCTTTCAGAATACAGTATAATGGTGAAATTGCTTTGACATGGAAGCACAATTCTCTATTTTCCCTATTGAATACTTCAGCTGTATTTCTCCACAATAAGTTTCTTCGAATATAAGAAACGCAAAAGGACCGCTCTATAACTGCTAAAAAGTACCCATTTCAGATCAAAAGTACAAAATGAACCCTCAATGCCAAACTGCCTCGGTGGCTAAAACTTCATAACAAGCAAAGGCGGCCTCCCAGTAAAGTCTAGGCTATCCAAGAATCTTATCGATTTTGTTGAACTTCCTCTACAGGTGGGGGCGCAAATCTCACATTTGCAGGGCGGGCCACAACAACAGGCTCATCAGCAAACAGTGCTCTTATAAGTGATGGAGTTCTTAGGGGTCGACGACCAGTCATTCGTGGATACACTTCTTCAAGAAAATAGTATGCATGACCAGCCATCATTCCCTGAAACACGGAAAGATGTGTTTTTTTTATAACTAAACATCAAAAATTAAACAGGTTCCCACAAAAGGCTCAACTAAACAGACATAATGAATGCATAACTGAGGTAAGGAAGATAATTATTTCAAGACTTAGCGAAGATACATCATTCCATCAGACTTAAATAACCTAAGTAGAACCTGCAGGAGTGAAAAGCAAAATCTAAAATATATATTCGTAGGATGTAAAATTATACTACTTGTGCAATCATCAAAATGAATACAAATAATTCTATTCTAAGATTGAATCACATTAAACGAAATTGACTTATCAACAGGAGACCATTTGTTTTGTTGATGACTTGAAATGTCTAGTGATGACTCTACTCCTAAATCCATCACTTTACGGACATCCCTGATTGGGCAGGTGTCTTCCTCTGAAACTAGAAAGCTCAAGTTCAAGCCTCCCTCTCATCTGTAACACTCACGTAAGTACAAAATCCCAACCTTTATGATTGCAAAAATTCTGAAGATAATAAAAAAAGGTGAGTAGGTGGGAGCATCCACATTGAAAGAGTGAGTATTCAAGAGGATTTTGCTCTCAATCAACCAATTTGAGAATAAAAAGAGGTACCCACACAAATTTCAAAAGGATATAGTGACCGTGCCCCAAACTGGTGAGGGTCAGTGACCTGACAATGGGATTTTTATGGGTCTTTGGAATTGGAAACTCAGGAAATACATACAAGGTTCAGGTCTCTCACAGGCCTGTCATCAGCATTTCCATAATCCACATGATAATGAAGTAGTAATAAAACAGAATCAAATTTCTATTCATAATCAGTTAACCCAAGCACTATAAGCACAAATGCGAAAAAAAGTCATATCAACACAACGGCAGTAAGCATACCAGTAGATCAACCCAGGCACTAGCACCAACAAGGACAGAGAATCCCAAAAGAACCTGCAAGAGATAAAAATGAAGCCTGGAATTATACATTGTTGTCAATGTGACGCATAAGGAAAGAGCAATTTCTAACATTGCATGAAGTGAAACACCAACAGTGGCTGACTACAAATCATATTGAACTAAACCTAAAGCTAGAATTCCAATGTTCGCATTTAGATGCAAAAATAAGAAGTTTACAATAAGAGAGGCAACCAAAATAATTCCCTATTTACAATGAAAGCAACAAAATAATATGGAAGAATATAAATGCCACTTACACTAATATATATTGGCTCTAATTTAAACATATATTCTGTATGCATCCTCGTTTGAACTATCATATACCATTTCCAAAGGGGTTGAAGGTAACAGTATGCATTAATCTCACCACACTGTCAACATGGCAGCACCTAGTCCTACAAATTGTAATAGTCGGACAAGACAATATGATAAATACATTGTGGATCACTCACCCATGGAAGGTAAGCTGCTGTGAACGTAAAGAAGCCCAAGAAACTCATATGGATGTACGGGTTTTGCTTGCTCCACACATAAACCTGTAAAGTGGAAATATAACATTTTTAAAAAGATGAAAACAGTTGATGTATAACACGTTTCACATTTAAACATTTTTATATGGATACATAGGCAAACCAACTAACCATCATAAATGTCAGTGAATTGCTAAGGAATATAATCTTTGCGAATGATTCTGACACATAAGGTACCATTCCGCCAATGAGAACAATCCCAGTTAAAACAGTGGCACCAAATAAAAGCATGTAAAAGAAATCTGCAGTCCTTCCCCTAAAAGAATTCTCTTCAAGAAGCTTGCAGTATCGAGCAAGAAAGAACATGTGGAACAGAAAGTCCAAGTCTGGCAACATTAAGATTCAATGGAGTGAGAACAGACGATGACAGCATAAACTATATCACATTACAATATACCTATTTCTATGAACATCTGAAGAAATATATCTGGACAAAGCTGAAATGTCCTGAGCATAATTACCGAGTCAACTAAATAAAAATTTAAAATTCTGTCATTAAATAACTGCTTGATGGAAAAGCACAGATGGACTCCCCCACCTGCAGAATCAAGAAAAAAAGCTGCCACTACATGGTGAACAACCAATCCCTATGCCTTCCTCTTTACCTTTTTCATTTATTGACCTTCCACTTTATCATGTGGCTATGTTTGTGCATGGACGTTTAGGGGCTGTGGACCATACAATCAAATTTCTAGGAGTTCGGAATTAGTCATTGCAGGTCAAAATTGATCCAGGGAGATTACAAATCTGATTGGTATTTTGAGTTAACAAGATCTATGACTAGAAAATCTCCACTCCAAATGAAATCATTCGAGTGGGTGAAGAGGCTAGACTGCTGAGTGGAGCAAGAAGCAAAAACATAAAAGTGCAACAGGACTCTCTCGTATAGGCTTTCTATCTTCACATAAACTCATCCACATCTTTCAGTCTATGTGCCTCTTTGTCCTATTTTATGATACCTATACAATCGCTTTTGGGTATCAAAAGGGAGAAACAATCTACATTCCATAAAAAAAAAAAAACTGAAACAAACAAATGTGTGTACATCTCTTCTTTTTTTTTTTNGTTTCTATCTTCACATAAACTCATCCACATCTTTCAGTCTATGTGCCTCTTTGCCCTATTTTATGATACCTATACAATCGCTTTTGGGTATCAAAAGGGAGAAACAATCTACATTCCATTAAAAAAAAAAAAACTGAAACAAACAAATGTGTGTACATCTCTTCTTTTTTTTTTTTCCAAACACCCTTGAGTGTGTTAGTCTAAGCTTTTATGTAAAGAAGTACTTGAGAAAGTGAAAGAGTGAGGTAAGCACAATTTTTCGCACAAAAGAATTATAACAGCCACAAATAAATTGAAAAAAGAATCTATTAGAATATCAGATGCAGGAAACACATGTGGTAGCCCAAATACATCAATTGCAATCAGGAATTACCACCCTCCTCAGTTGTGAACCGAAAAGTAAGACAACAGTGTGCATCAACGTTCCTTCTTGAGCACAAACATCTCTTCCATGAAAAAGTGGCAATCATCCAAATGCATACACAGACAGAAAGAATGCCAATACAAGTTTGAAAAAAACAAGGGGAACCGATGGCACATAAATTTCCACCTAGAGTTTTTGCATTGTAGAGTTAAGGAAGAAGATATACNGTATGCATTAATCTCACCACACTGTCAACATGGCAGCACCTAGTCCTACAAATTGTAATAGTCGGACAAGGCAATATGATAAATACATTGTGGATCACTCACCCATGGAAGGTAAGCTGCTGTGAACGTAAAGAAGCCCAAGAAACTCATATGGATGTACGGGTTTTGCTTGCTCCACACATAAACCTGTAAAGTGGAAATATAACATTTTTAAAAAGATGAAAACAGTTGATGTATAACACGTTTCACATTTAAACATTTTTATATGGATACATAGGCAAACCAACTAACCATCATAAATGTCAGTGAATTGCTAAGGAATATAATCTTTGCGAATGATTCTGACACATAAGGTACCATTCCGCCAATGAGAACAATCCCAGTTAAAACAGTGGCACCAAATAAAAGCATGTAAAAGAAATCTGCAGTCCTTCCCCTAAAAGAATTCTCTTCAAGAAGCTTGCAGTATCGAGCAAGAAAGAACATGTGGAACAGAAAGTCCAAGTCTGGCAACATTAAGATTCAATGGAGTGAGAACAGACGATGACAGCATAAACTATATCACATTACAATATACCTATTTCTATGAACATCTGAAGAAATATATCTGGACAAAGCTGAAATGTCCTGAGCATAATTACCGAGTCAACTAAATAAAAATTTAAAATTCTGTCATTAAATAACTGCTTGATGGAAAAGCACAGATGGACTCCCCCACCTGCAGAATCAAGAAAAAAAGCTGCCACTACATGGTGAACAACCAATCCCTATGCCTTCCTCTTTACCTTTTTCATTTATTGACCTTCCACTTTATCATGTGGCTATGTTTGTGCATGGACGTTTAGGGGCTGTGGACCATACAATCAAATTTCTAGGAGTTCGGAATTAGTCATTGCAGGTCAAAATTGATCCAGGGAGATTACAAATCTGATTGGTATTTTGAGTTAACAAGATCTATGACTAGAAAATCTCCACTCCAAATGAAATCATTCGAGTGGGTGAAGAGGCTAGACTGCTGAGTGGAGCAAGAAGCAAAAACATAAAAGTGCAACAGGACTCTCTCGTATAGGCTTTCTATCTTCACATAAACTCATCCACATCTTTCAGTCTATGTGCCTCTTTGTCCTATTTTATGATACCTATACAATCGCTTTTGGGTATCAAAAGGGAGAAACAATCTACATTCCATAAAAAAAAAAAAACTGAAACAAACAAATGTGTGTACATCTCTTCTTTTTTTTTTTTTCCAAACACCCTTGAGTGTGTTAGTCTAAGCTTTTATGTAAAGAAGTACTTGAGAAAGTGAAAGAGTGAGGTAAGCACAATTTTTCGCACAAAAGAATTATAACAGCCACAAATAAATTGAAAAAAGAATCTATTAGAATATCAGATGCAGGAAACACATGTGGTAGCCCAAATACATCAATTGCAATCAGGAATTACCACCCTCCTCAGTTGTGAACCGAAAAGTAAGACAACAGTGTGCATCAACGTTCCTTCTTGAGCACAAACATCTCTTCCATGAAAAAGTGGCAATCATCCAAATGCATACACAGACAGAAAGAATGCCAATACAAGTTTGAAAAAAACAAGGGGAACCGATGGCACATAAATTTCCACCTAGAGTTTTTGCATTGTAGAGTTAAGGAAGAAGATATACATGAAATTTACATCACAGTCACATGTAACACCAAATGTTTGGACAGTCAAGAAAATGCTTCATAAATGAATTAGTTGTATGAAAAAGTTCAGAAGGGATTTGTAGCTGGCAACACAGAAAGCACTGGAATATCAATTTACGGGCAGTGGAAAGCACTCAGAAGTAGCACCAGTTAAGGTGCCAGCAAGTTGAATTTCTTAAGATCAATAAAAGGAACAACTAGAATACAAAAAGACACTCAATTAATAACTTAGGAGACCAGCTCCCAACCTACATGATCAAAAGAGTCATGTACATCTCACACAATAACTTATACACAAAATTAAAGCACAACTGCAGAAATTTTACCCATTCCTGATTAGCTCCCGCAATAAACCTGTTATTAACAAAGAATGCAGGGTGGCAAACCAACCCCTAAAACAAAAGGGACTTTCTTTGTACACCTGATAGGTCAAGAAGTAATACTGTTCCATGACACTCAAATAAGTTAATTACATTACTTCGCATTCCTTTTTCTCATATTTAGCAGAGAAAGGTTCAAGTGTATATTTCTGTCTGAAATCCAAGCATTTGCCTCATCAAGTCCATGCAATTAGAAACTCTTAAAAATATTGTGACTGCCTAATCCAGTGATTAAACCCCAATATTGCACACAATATAACAAGTGGATACATCAAAGGCTCAAACCCTTTGACTGAAAATTGTCGAATCAAAACCAAAACCAGTAGCTCTGCCACAATCTACATTATGAGGAATCACGCAAAAGAATTACTTGAGTTATAGCTATAAATATTACCCATATTCCGGAAGTAGAGGAAATTGGTGATGAGTCGCCAGAACTGGTAATGCTTAACCACTAGCACTGGGTTCAAGTACAAGTTGTAAGGTGAGATTATCTGCATAAAAAATAAAACATGAACCTAGATAAACCCAAAAAAAAAAATCCAGCTTTTAGTATTGTTTACAGCTTCCAATTAACCAGATTCAGTGCTTATTGAAAAATAAAAGATTTTACACATCGTATTACCAATACAAAAACATGATATGTGTAAAAGAAACAGAAATCTAAATAATAACCGCAACAATAAAAAATAAACTAACTTTCCTCCATATAATTGAAAGCAAAACGCCAATGTTTTCATAAATTCAGATCACCCAGTTATGTAACCCCCACACCAATTATACCCAATCACATCGAAACTGACTATTTGCATCCGAAAATGAACTCAATCCTATGCAATTCTTTAAAATTAAAGAAAAGTAAAATTTCCACATAAGTTACAACAAACCCGGTAGAATCAATCCAGATAATAATACCCAATTGCACAGTAACCCCATTAAGAATCAAACCAAAAAATACACAAATCTACTCAATTACATAGAGTCCTACACATATCCGTATACATATATAAATATACAGAGAAAGGGGGCCGGGGGTGCATACTTCGAGGGAGCAACAGATGGTGGTGACAATTGCAGCAGTGAGGTACGAACGGGTGATAATTGGCATCTGTTTGTACCATTCTTCTACAGCTTGAGCCATTGCTCAGTCTCCGATCTTCTCAAATCAATGAAAACCCCAAACCTACCACAACTTTTCGCGAAAAAAAAAAAGACCTTCTGGAGCGAAAATCAACACAACACACAATGCTTCATCAACCTCAAACCGATACAGTTACATATATGATGTACTAATATATNGGAGCGAAAATCAACACAACACACAATGCTTCATCAACCTCAAACCGATACAGCTACATATATGATGTACTAATATATCTCCCTATTCATAATTTTGTATGAGAGAGAGAGAGAGAGAGANGTTACATATATGATGTACTAATATATAAGAGAGAGAGAGAGAGAGAGGTGTTTTAGATTGGAATTTGGAAAGGGGTGAAAAGTTTTGGATTGGACATAGACTTAAGACCGGAATAGGAAGTCCTTAGCCCAATCTCTCTTTTGGTCCCCCTCTCTCCCGTAACCAAACAAAGCCACATTGCATGTTTCGCTCTAATATTCTCCTGGGTTTCTACAAAACACGCGAGTTAGGATCGCGTGAGCTAAACGACCCAATCAGTGGGCCGTTATACAATAAGTATCCAATAATATACTTTAGAATGGAAATAATGATGTCACATATATTCAAAGAGACCTTTGATTTGTTTGGCGTTGGAACCTAAGTCACACAATTTGTTCAAAGAGTATGTAACTAAAATTTATAAGCCTAAAATGATATCTCAAATTAATAAAGATTATTGGATCAATATATTCTATTTAAAAAATTAACAGAACTCATTCATCCAATAATTTTCGATCATTTATAATATTATTTGAGTTACATAAGGATTATTGGATCGGTGAGTTTTATTTAAAAAATTGGTAGGACCTATTCATTTAATCTTCTCTGTTTATTTGAGATGTTATTTAAGGATTTAAATTTGGATTGCATAACATTTTTCTTGTTCAAAACATCTTGAGCAATTTTGCTCTGCACGCGAATTACGCGTTTTGAGAATATATTTGTTTTAATTTCACACTCTAGTTTTAAAATTCGTGAACTAAAGTTTTACTAATTTATGTATTCAGTATTACAAAATTTAAAATTTTACTAATTCCTGAATTCGATAAAATGATTTTATGAATTCACATTTTATGATTACAATTATTGAAATAATGATAAAAAAAATGCATATTATTTCAGTAGATAATTAAGGGTATCAATCAACAAACCATCTACGTATACATTAGTAGTGATTGTCTATACCTTAAAGTACTATGTACCATAAAAAAAATCGCTAATGAATTTTTTAAATATATTCGCAAATAATTTTTCTTGAACAAAAGTTGCACTAAAAAACAAACAAATTTGAAAAACTCGTACTAAATTGTCCAAACATCAATTAAATACATACCCCCTTATTTTGTACCAATATATGTGAATCCCAAGTATACGTTATTTGCACTCATAGTTGAAGTGGCCAAAAAAGTCACTAAATATATTTTCCCAATCTATTGGCAACCGACAATGATGCACTTAGTGATCAAAGACAATTTTCAATCCCCGCACTCTATGGCTTTGAACAATTCCAATATGTTTCATGAGCAATGGTAACAACTAATAAGCATTTTCACTCACATATGCACACTAATCAATTATCTATTTTTTTTTTCTCGAATAACTTAATAGAAAACTTTATTAAAATTAGAAATTACAACTCGTCTAGGAAGACAGACCTTTTATTTGGGTTGTAATGACAACATAGCTATGAAAAAAAAAACAATATAAGCCAATAATGCACAACTAGTAGAAGATGAATATCTCAATTGAATCGCCCAACCATCCATCCCAACCTTTCGTGGTATGGACAATGTTTAAAAGTACACCACTACATGATCATGAGAATGGTGTCACCTACATATAATTAGATTTAGATGAGTGCAACTACAAAAGCCTTTGATCATTTCTCACTATATCAAGCAACTAAGATAGAACATCCTTTACTTCAACAACAACACTTGTGAAGCACTTGTTATGGCCACATGCAGAAAGAAAAATGAGGATCACCGGTTGACTTCAATTTAGTTGTTTATTTAGGGCCTGTATGATAACACCACTTAAGACTTTAAACTGAATACTCTAAGCACTTAATAAATTAAACTCGTTTGATAACCTAAAACTTATACTACTTAATATTTTAAGCACTTCTTAGAAATATGCCAAAATTTTAAGTAACAAACCAGTTACTTATCACTTAATGCTGAAAAATGTAAGTCAGTAAGGAGTTTATCAATTTCTCATAATTGACAAATATACCCTCACAACCATTGTGCTACCGTCATCATTATTATTGTGTCATCGCCACTACTACCACCGTCATTGTTGTCACCACCATTGTATCACCACTACCATTATGTCACCACGACTACCACCACCATTATGTCGCCGCCACCATGAGTACCACCACTATTTCCACCACCACCATCACCATTGTCGTTATCACCTCCACCACTAACACCACCACCACCATTGTATCACCGCTACTACCACCATTACCATAACTATCATTGTTATCACTGTCACTACCATTATGTCGCCGCCACCACCACCACCATTACCTTCACCACCACCATTGTGCCACATTATGTCACCACCACCACCATTGTGTTGTTGTCGTCGTCGCCACCACCACAACCACCGTTGTCGCCACCACTCCCACCACCATTGTGATAGAGGTGATAGGAATAAGACAGTTATATAGATATGGTTAAAGAGAAGGGAAAAATTAGAATAATAATAATTTTCGGATTTTAGCTCATTCTATTTGTCAAACAGTGTGATTAAATTCAATATTTAAAATTCAGCAAATAATCTGCGAATTAAAAAATTCAACATTCAACATTTAAAATTTAGCATTCAATTTCTAGTATTCAACTTTCAGCTTTATCAAACACTACCTTAAGTTCATTTTGGGATCCATGGATCTTCAACCAATCAAAAATTCAAATAAAACCATTTAGAAGTCGCATTATAGTTACAATTTTAAGAAGAAAAAAAATAAAGATGTGTTAGCTAACACACAAAACTTAAACACCATATTTCAAATGAAATTCCTACCATGACAAAGACATATTGTTAATGATTCGAGTCAAACAATAAGCTTCTTGAGAAAACATTGCCAAGCAAAGTGCATAACATTCCTCATCGTGCAATGATCATCAAACGCACTCAAACACATCACTCACCCCCAGATACTCCAAAAGGGTCCAAATCGTTGTAAAAAAAAAGTTTAGTAAAAGTGAGGAATCAAAATTTTAAAATACCTCATTTCACCAATTTTTTGGACTGGAAAAATGACTTGAAATAGTATACACTCAGCCTAAGACGACTACAACACATAAACCAACTAAGAGACATGTGTAGGGGTAGTTATCTTGCTTTCTTTCACAAATTGCAAAAGCATGTGTATTAGTGCATTAAGAAAGCAGTTGAATAAACACTGGTTCGTAGATTAGAGAAGCTTGCAGATAGATTAGAGAAGTAAGGAATTTCTACACCATGTCTTTTACTACAAAAGAAAAAAAAAACATATGTGACACATCAATTATCTTTTTCCCGATATATGGGGAATCCCCAATATCATTAGAACTCTGACATTAGGAGAATTATTGAAAGCGATACCCGACAAAAATTCAAGAGGCAACACAAGAAAAAAGACCGATACAACCAATTAAAGTATTCAGTAACAAAGAAAATGATGTAAAAACAGTAAAACTTTTCACAAACTTTCAGAGTATAATTTACCTGTGATTGACAGTTGACAAATCGAGAATAGATTGGTCAACAAATTGATCTCCAGCTATATGCATAACAATCCCACAAAATAAAATAAAATTCAAAAAATCATAAAAAATCAATGAAATTCAAAGAACAGCAAAATAAAAGGGAACTACACCTTGATCACAATCTCGAGACAAAGAGGGAGAGACACTTGGTGGCTGCGGTTGGTCAACTCGTTGGGGTATGAGGACTGTCCATTACACTATGTTCCTTTGGGAATGGCTTCGAACAATTAATGATCATTGACATGATCATCACATTTCACTTAGCTATATAGATAAAACGATTTCTAAAATCAATACCAACTATCAAATTAGAAATTCCAGGCTAACACGGATAAAATGATTTCTAAAATCAAACAAAACACATTGAAAAGAAACATGAATTCAACCCATTGAAGAGGAACATAAATTCAACCCATTGTACTCATAAAAATCCATGTCAATTAAAAAAATTAACTACAAATTTTCGTTTTCTCAATCTTCATTGTAGTAGAATTAGCTAGCAAATTGGGCCTCCATCACATGCAATCTCTATCTATTACATCATGATTTTTGTTTTCTCGATCACAATCTCCGTCGTAAATTAATAGGGTTTTTTGTTCCACGTCAGATCAAAAATTGAACAATATAATAATCAAAATAAATATTAGGAAAAATTCGGCCACAACCTATCTAATTTATTATATCTTTAAGGACATCTCCTCTATTATCAAAAATATCATTAAAATCCTTTCTAGTTTATATTTAAACATCATTAACATCCCTTGTCATTAAACCACCATTTCTACCCAAAAAAAATCCATCTAAAATATCAAAAATGCCCCTATATAAACCCCAAATATTTTTCTACATATTAAAATTTGAGCTCATTAAAATTCAATTCGAACTAATTAAATTTATTTTTATATATATATTAAAATTTGATCCTATTAAAATTTATTTTTTACATATTAAAATTTGAGCCAATTTAAGCTCTACCCGAGTTGTTAACCGATAAAAATTTGCTTTCGAGTCAATTAAAATTTATATTTTTTTTACTTATTAAAATTCGTGTCAATTAAAATTTAATTTATTAAAATTTGAGTTAATTAAAATTTAGGCCGATTAAAATTCAACGCGAGTTGATTAAAATTTGATTTGAGTTGATTAAAAATAATTTGTAACTGGCTCAAATAGAATTTTAATTGACTCAAATTTTAATACATAAAAAAAATAATTTTTAATTGACTCAAATTTTAATAAGTAAAAAAATAAATTTTAATTAGCTCGAATCAAATTTTAATCGACTCGAATTTGAATATGTAAAAAAATTTAGAAAATAGAGGAGATCTCATTAAAAATATTCTTATCTAGAAAGGGTGTGAATGAATTTTGTCCTCAAACATATCCTGGGCAATTTAGTGAAAATGCATTATAATTGATATTTTAATTTGACAGGGGTGTCAGTGAAGATTTAAAAAATAGAGAAGATATCATTGAAGATATGATAAATTAGAAGGGATGTAATTGGAATTTTTCCTAAATATTCAAATCCACAACCCAAATGCCATTCCAGTATTCCAAATGTAATACATAAGAAAAAGAATGAAAAAATAGGAAATCATTAGAGAGAATGAGATCCAAATGTAGGCGATGAAGCACGATGTAGTAAAAACAAAAAATTGAAGAACGGAGATGAACAATCTGCATATAATTGAGACAATCTATATGTATACCCCAAAGCTCACTTAGAACTTTCATCGAACATGTGGTAAGTATGTTTGGTGAAGGAAATGGACCCTTTTGGATAGGCATTGGGCGATAGTTGAGGGAGGTGTTGGGTCTTGGTGGAAGAGGAGGTTTGTGGGTTTTGTCTCTTAACAACTAATCGGTGAAATGGATAAGGGGGTGTCACTGTGTGTGGCTCCGCTACTGTATGTCTATGTATGTGTGTTTGAGTAAAAAAAGGTGGACAGATAGAGAGATGAAAAACATACCTAAGATGTATGAGCAATAAGAAGATGCACATGGAGAGAATCAGGAGGGCAAGAGAGGGAGAGATGAAGACATAGAGGCAGTATTAATTTGACAGTGTTTGTGTGTGTGTGCAGAGATAAAGAGAGAGGGAGACACACACAACCCTTTTAACTACAAATTAACAACATCAATTTACTCCAATTAACAGGTCTAATTTTGAAATTATTTGTGTGAGTGAGTTTGTGGGTGATGGGTTTGTGTGAGTGTGTTGTTGATGGGTGTGTTAGTGCGTGTATGCATTGTGTGTGTGTGTGTGAAAGCAGAGAAGAGAGAGAGAAGACTAACCTTAGAGAGGTTCACCCAAGGGGGAGAGCTTGGGGGGGTCATTGAGAATGTGTGTGTGTAGAAGGTCGGGGCGAATTTTATCTGTGTATGTGTGAGGGAAAGGAATAGAGAGAAGAAGGATACCTAGGAGGGGTGTGGTTGTGGCTATGGCGGTGGCGGTGGTGGCGGCAGTGTTGCTGGTGATAGTGGTGTTGTTGGAAATGGCGTAAAAGACGGAGATAGGGAGTAAACAACAAAGGAATTGAAATCAATTATTAACAAGTAATGATGAATATATTTAAGATTGTATGATTGATTTGTTGAAATCGTTTTATTTTATATTATAAAAGTCATTCTCAAAACGTTTTATTTTCAAGTATTTTCTTATTTTTTTTACGCTCTTGTCCTCGCTTTCACTCTTTGTCTATGCTAACCAGGTTAGAACATAAATGTGTTGTGAGCTATTTTTGAGGACAGTCAACCTCATCACGGTTGATGTAAAACCTCAATATGTCAATTTAACATGGTCCACACGATTTACCCAAAACTTCATTGTGTTGGGCAAAGACATAATTCAAAGAGCAATGTTATATGAAATTGAATTAAAAATATAATAATTATGTCATTGAATTATTCATAGATCCCAATATAAAATGCACTTTATTATCAATTTAATTGTCACAAATATATTTAAAATTAATTATTTATTTGACCCTTAAACTATATTATTTGTGTCAATCAATCCTTGAACTATATTTTTGTGTCAATTTAATCATTAAATTATATAATTTGACTCAATGTGGGTCTTTTGTCAAAATTTGTTGCTAACTTTAATAAAAAATCTCAATTGCACATCCATGAGTAGAGATGAGGTTATAATTTTTTTTTTTNCTCTTACCAACAGGTTAGCAGCTCAAATAAAAAAATTATCCTTATTTGTGTGTGTGTGCGTATGTGCCTGCCTCAGGGTAGAGTTGGTGGAAATGGTTATAGGTTCTGTAGACTCTAAATTTTTTGTTAGTGTGAGTGAGATCAATTCAGCTTGAAAGCATATCTCATTGATAATATTATTTCTTGATGCATCTAATCTACTGCACCTGTTGTTGTGCAGGCTCCACTTATTGAGTACGACTTTAGGGTCACAGAGTTATTTCAAGATCTCCAAGATGGGGTCCGGCTCTGCAGAGCCATTCAGCTCTTGCAACACGACTCCTCTGTTCTTGTGGTTAGCTGATTTTAATGAATATTAGGACTCAATTTTTTGGTATGATATTTATGTGTCATGCTTGATTTTGATCCTCTTTTATGGTTAGAAAATGATTGTTCCATCAGATACTCGTAAGAAGAGCTTGGTCAATTGTGGGATTGCCCTTCAATATCTAAAGCAGGCTGGTGTGCCTTTATATGATGAAGATGGAACAACAATTATGGGAGAAGATGTTGTAAATGGAGATAAGGAGTTTACACTTTCTTTGCTCTGGACAATGTTTGTTCACTTGCAGGTGTGTCATATTCTTTTTTTCCACTCAATCTATCAGTATCTCCAAAACCTCAAGTCTCACAGGATATGCTCTTTCTGTATCTCCCCAATCTCAAGTTGCAACGGATGCATAAATTTGTTTCATTGGGAGAATTTTCTATATTCTTGTTTATTAATTGTTTGAATCACATTTTAAATAAGCAGTGTCAGTATTTGTTACGAGTGTCAATCAACCAATTTTCTCATGTAACATGCAGTTGCCTCTTCTGATCAACAAAACGCTCTTATCTGTGGAAATTTCCAAAATCCGTGGAGTTCGTGCGGTATGCTCCAGTTTAGATAAATGTTTTGTTTGTGCCTGTCAGAGAAAGAAATATATCATCACTGAGGTTTCGGGGGAAGTTGCTTTTAATATTTTAAGACCAAATCACCCTCTAGATCTAGAGAAATGGACTGCAAAATTATCTGGTTTTCGTTGTTGTATTCTTTGTTGATGCTTAAATTACTTCTGATATTTATAACTGAGCTGCAACTATTGCCTGTCATTTTGCAGGAACATTCAAATGCTTGTACTCACTTGGACATGCTTTTGAGTTGGATCCAGGTATCATTGCTACTTAATCAACTCTACAAGATTTTATTGTTGATTTATATCAAACTATTTTTGCATGATGTATATTAGTGAGTTACCTATTTTTGCATGTGCATATTTCGTTCATTTTTTTGGTTTTAAATTTAAAATACATGAAGTGCACCTCATGTTCTCTATGATAATATTGCTCCATTTAAGAATTTTTGTCCATGCGATTTTTATTCTCCGTTTTCCCCATCATTAAATCAATTTGTGGAAGTATGGTGCAAAAAGTTAGTATGCATGTGGCGAATTCAATAGATCTTCAAATAATTGGTGTTTAAACTAGTACTTGTGCATAAGGTTTTCTTTTTTTTCCTTTTTTGGGGCGGGGGAGAATATAGATGGTCTCTGGGATGAAAGGCCCGTTATATTTGCAAAGGAAAATTCTGATATGTGTCAAATTTCAAACTACTTTGGAGCTAAGGCTGTTTCAATTTTCAAGATTCTTATAGATGGCTAATTTGCATATGGCTGCCTTTCTTACTGTGCAGGCAATTTGTGAAAACTATAATGTCATGGTTGAACATTTTGCTTCATTAGTTGATGGAAAAGCCATGTGGTGCTTGCTTGATTATTATTTCCGTAAGGAACACCACTGTTCTTGTTCTTTTAAGGTGTTTGCCATTTCCTTGTCATCCTTCTTTTCAGGATTTACCTATTTGTTGTGCTTTTGTCATTCAATCTGTGTTTTACTCTGAGCTCACAGGATCTTAGAGAAACAAATGGAGAAGCATCTATAATGTCAGCTGCTGAATATACAGATGCGGTGCACAACTTTATACTCTCTCAGAAATTGACTACATTATTGGGAAATTTTCCAGAGGTATTTAAATACTTGAATTGCTCTGTATCCCAAAATGAAAAAACTGCAACTGAATCCATGCTTACATAAAAAAACTGAAATCTAAGAGAACATTAAAAAACTGAGTGCCCCCCGAGCCCTAAAGTTATTTCCATATGTATATGCCTGCTAATTTTAGCAAATATGTTGGGAAATGTATACACTCTATAATATGGAGTACACTTAAGGCCAACATTTGGGTAGATTTTAAAGCAAATGCAGACAATATATTTATGTCTGTGTTTTATGCATGCAATACATATGCATTCATGTTTTGTTGTCGGTATCTACCTTACGTGTAGGAATACATAGGCATTGGCAATATTTATACATCTGAATGTCATACTAAATATTGATGTGATATGTCATGCCACAAGGTTTTTACTAGCCAATTTATCTCAATTTTTTCTCCTTAATTCCTGAAACAATTTGGGTGAGTAATGATATAGGCCCATATCTTTGTCTTACTTCATCATCTTTGTCTAAAAGGTTTCAAACTTTCTTAATTGATTCTTTTATGTTCTACACTGACCATTTTTTTTCGAAGCAGTTGTCAGTGGATTTGGAGGATCAATTCTTGTTTTTTAATGTAATGACTTTATTTTTGAATTTGAATTTTGAATTGGAGCACGCATAGTTTATCGGCATATGAAACTCTACTGAAATTGTGCAGTTATGGCTAGTGGGTGATACTTTGTTCTCATAGAAGTAACATTGTCTTGAATATCAAGTATGCATTATTGCATTCATTCATAAAAAAATCTAATTCACCTCTACTTTGCGCTCTTGGTAGCCACATAAAATTCCAAACAATCACATTGGTTTTGTGTAAAGGTTGTTTTCAGTATATCAGTTTTATGGCTATCATTTTTTTGATGTGCAATTCAATTTTTTGTTCATTGCAGCATGTCATATGCACTCTAACATTAGCCTGCTACAGGTTCTGCAAATTAGTGACATACTTGAACATAATGGTGCGTGCAATGATCGAAGCGTGGTCATCCTATTGGTTTTCCTCTCATTTCAACTACTTGTGAAAAGAAACACGGTAATGTACAAACATTTGCACCAAATAACATGTGAATCTTTTTTCTATCCAAAATTAAATATTCATTTTAATGCTCTTCCTCATATCAGGACCAACTGAATTTTCATAAACTCTTGGGTTTTAACTGTCAAAGTCCAGAGAGGAAACGTTTAAGTACAGAACGGTGTTTTATGCATTCTGCTGCAGTGCTTAACCGAGAAGAAATGAATGGGAACAGCACTGAAGGTTGCCAGAGTTTGTTTACTGGGAGTTATCTTCTAATATTGTTTGTAGTTTGTGCATTTAAAAGTAATATCTGTGCAAGATTGTTGTTGTTGGAAAAATTACAACTGCACGTGTCTTAGCTGAGGTGAGAGATCTTCACTCAATTTAGTGCTACCATCCAAGTAGGTTGTCACCATTTTCCAATAATGTTACTTCCAACTGCTTAGGTTGCACTATGCAATTAAGAAACCTTCCCCAGACACTGCAATGGCGGGAGTCTCATGCATTGGACTGCCATTTTTTAGGTCAAATTTGGAATTCGCTACTTTCCCAGAAAATATTAAGAAATAGGGAACCACCAGAGAACATAAAGAGTGATGTTGAAGTTATTTTAACTTGGTGTTTCTCAATATATATTCCGTTGTGCCAAGTTTAAAAGTTTAAAACTTTGCTCTTCAAAATACATTTTGAAGAGACCACTCTCTTCCGCCTTTGTGATACATTTACTTTTCTGTGGCCATGCATTTTGCCGCTCTATTTCGTCTTTTCTCTTCTTAAGTATTTACAGTTAGATGGTCTTTCAATGATTTTTTTTTTTCAATTTGTTATTTTTTGATATCTTTTGAGTAATAGTTTTTTTTTCTCCAAAAAACAAAAAAAGAGGTTTATGAACTAATTTTAACACAATTTTATTGTTGTCTGTTTCTGTATTTGTGCAGATTCCGTGAGAAATTTTAAGGCCATCATGGCTTGGTGGCAAGAGATGGCTCAACGAAATAGCAATTTTGATATGAAACCAGATACTCCAACTTTGCCATCTATCTCTAATGGTAGACTGAGAATTGATGTTCAAAGAGGTAATCATTATGTAACTCCCGTTGTAATTCACAATGATGTTTTTTTTTGTATACAACATACCTTTCTCACTTCTCCTTAACCCCTTATCCCTGGTACAAGGTACCTAACGATTGATCCATGTTTTCTTTTACTTTATTTCTGGGAGATGTTATTTGTGTTAGAATTAATCATAGAGAAGAGAAATAGTAAATGTATTGAACCAAGAGCTCATCTGTAATACTCTAAAAAAAAACCTAGAAATACATAAAATAACCCTTATATATTAGAGCAACACAACATAAAGAGAATGTCTAAATTACCCTTATTATGAATACTCTAACACCCTTTCTCAAACTCATGATGTAGTAGAAAACATCAAGAGTTTGCCAAGAAGAAATCTAAAACGTGTTATGGTATGAGATTTTGTAAAAAAATCTGCTATCTGCATTGTAGATGAAAGAAAGGGGAGAGTAATGGTGTCGTGCTGCAGATGATGACGCACAAAGTGACAATTAATTTCAATGTGTTTTGTACGCTCATGGAAGACCGAGTTATGAGCAATCTGAATAGCACTGGTGTTGTCGCAGAACATAGGAGTAGGAGATGATACCGAAATGCCAAGATCCACAAGGAGCCATCGTAGCTAGACTATCTCAGTTGTAGTAGATGTCATAGCATAATACTCAACTTCAACAGAAGAACGAGCAACAACAGTTTGTTTCTTGCTTTTCCAAGAAATAAGAGAATCCCCAAGAAACAGGCAGAAACCAGTAGTGGACTTGTGATCTATAGAGTCACCAGCCCAGTCAGCATCAGAGTAAGTTCTTAGTTCCATAGATGATGAGTGAGGAAATAGTAAACTCTGATGGAGAGTACCACGGAGATATCGAAGAATGCGAATAACAGCAGCCCAGTGAATGGTGGTGGGTGAGGTAACAAATTGACTCACAATGTGAACAACATAAGATATATTTGGACGAGTGACTGTAAGATATACTAAACTCTCAACAATAGTCCGATAGAGGGTTGGATCAGACAAGAGAGTACCGTCAAATGAAGAGTAATGAACATTGAGTTCTAAAGGTGTGTCAACTGTCCGATTATTTGATAAACGAGCTCGTTGAATAACATCTGAAGCATACTTGGATTGAGAGAGAAGATATTCTTTGGGAGAGGAATCAATCTCAATACCCAAGAAATATCTAAGTTGCCCCAAATCTTTTATCTCAAAATGGTCCTGCAACTGAATTTTCAATAAGCATATGCCAGCAGTGTCATCACCCGTAATAATCATATCATCAACATATAACAAGAGAATAATAGAACCTGAGGAAGTAGACTGTAAAAAGAGAGCAGAATCATGGTCATTGGCACGAAAACCCAAGTCACAGATAACTGAAGAGAATTTAGCAAACCATGCCCTGGCAGCTTGTTTAAGACCATATAAGGCACGATGAAGTTGACATACTTGACCAGAACTATAACATAATCCAGGAGGAGATGTCATAAAGACCTCTTCAGTTAAATCTTCATGTAGAAATGCATTTTTTACATCCATTTGAGACAAACTCCATTGTTGAATGGCAGCAACTGCAATTACGGTGCGAATAGTAGTCATCTTGGCAACAGGAGCAAAAGTCTTATCATAATCTAGACCATATTCCTAAGTAAACCCCTTGGCTACTAATCGAGCTTTATATTGTTCCACAAAACCATTTGACTTAGTTTTTATCTTATAAACTCACTTACAACCAATAGTGCATTTACCAGGCAGTAAAGACACTAGCTCCTAAGCTCTGGCCTTATGTAAGGCAGACAACTCTTCGTCCATAGCCTGTTTTCAAAGTGGATCAAGTAAAGCTTCCTTATAGGAGGTGGGTTCAGATAGAGAATGAATAGAAGTAAGAAAAGAATAAAAGTCAGAAGAATAACAAAAATTACTCCAACCAAATCTGTCTGGACATTTGCGAGAGCGCTGAGGATAGCGTGGGGTATGATTCACAGTATCTGAACTCGATTGGGCTGTCGGAGGAGAAAGGGAAGGCATTGCATCCGGAGAGGAGATAATTAGAGTCTTACAAATATATGTATGCACAATAGGAGGACGAGTAATAGTCGGCTTAGAAGATGAAGTATTTGACACATGTATATCATTAACATATGTGTCATGAGGAACATTAGTAGGAAAGAGATCAATGTATAACAAGTCAGACTTATTCAATGAGGAAGAGTTAGATGGAATTGAAAAGAAGGGAATATGCTCTATAAAAACAACATGACGAGAGACATAAAGTTTGTGGGTGATGGGATCATAGCAACGATATCCTTTTTGACCCTCACCATAACCAAAAAATACACATAAAGCTGAACGGGCAGAAAGTTTGGTACGAAGAACACTAGGGAGCAAAACAAAACAGGTACAGCCAAACAAACGTAAAGAAAAATAGTTAGGCGGCTTACCACATAACTTTTCAAATGGAGAGACTCTAGAGGTGAGAATAGTAGGAATGATGTTGATCAAATAAACCGCTGTCAAAACTGTTTCCCCCCAAAAAGAGCTAGGAACATGTACTGATAAAAGAAGGGAACGTGCTGTCTCTAGAATATGACGGTGTTTTCGTTTGACAATATTATTCTGCTCAGGTGTGTTAGTGCAAGAGGATTGATAAAGTGTACCAACAGATTTCAACAAATCATGAAAAAAAGTAAGAGTATATTCACCTCCTTGATCACACCGAAAATATTTAATGACTGTGGAATATTGAGTGCGTATTATATTACAAAATGTAGTGAAGATGGAAAAGAATTTAGACCGACGTTTCATCAAGAATACCCAACAATACCTCGTGTAATCATCAATAAATGAAACATAATATTTGGACCCTCCTTGTGTAGAAATGGGAGCTGGTCCCCATATATAAGAGTGAACAATATTAAATGGTGCATGAGAACAAGTAACACTTTTATTAAATAACAATGCACTAAATTTAGCCAACTTGCATCCACTACAATCAGAAATTTTATGACTTGCTAAACTACCCAAGCTACTAGTCGAAGCTAAAAATTTTAAACGAGAATAAGAAACATGACCAAGACGAGAATGTCATAAATAAAAACTAGATGACTCTGGACTCAAACGAAATAAAGATAAATCAATAGTAGAAGCAACAACAACAACATCTGGGACATGAAGCTCCTCCAACACATATAACCCGCCCTTTTTACTGCCTGTTCCAATCAGTTTCTTGGACCGTAGATCCTGTATAACACAACCAGAGGAAGAGAAATGAACCAAAAATTCAGAATCAAATAGTTGACTAATTGAAAGTAAATTCAAAGTAAGTTAAGGAATATAATAGACATTTGAAAGGGTAAGGTTGGAAGGAATAATTGTCCCAACACCAGCTAATGACATTTGAGAACCATTGACAGCAAGTACAAACAAAGATGGAGGAGAAACAATAGATACAAATAAAAAAGAGTCACTGGTCATATGATGTGTGGCACTTGAGTCAAAGACCCAGGCGGTTCGAGGTATACCTGAAGGACCTGAGCTAAACGAACCTATAGTGGGAGAAACTATGAGAGCACCAGGCTGATGAAGAGAGAGAAGCTGCAGTAATTGGTCTGCAAGCATAGTCAGGCTGGGAGCTGATGAGGCTGACTTATCCACTGGCCGTGCTACGGCTGTTGTGTGACGATCTCTTGGCTTAAATGACTGATGTTGAGACCCTTGTGCATTCTTGTTTATCAACTTGGGACATTGGGCCTTCCAATGACCCTTTTCACGACAGAAACTACACTCATCAGAAGTAACCCGACCTCGATATTTATTTTGAGAATTAGAGGTCACTTTGAAAGGAACAACCAACACAGTCTGATTTGGCAGTGGAATAATACCCTTTCCAGAAAGGGTTTTAAGGCGAACTTCTTCAGTTAAGAGCTCATTAACAACTGCATCCACTAAGGAGAGTGGATGACGATGAAGAATGGAACCACGAAGTCCCTCGACATCATTTCTAAGGGTCATCAAGAATTGCACTAGCCTCTGTTCCTGTCTGAAGGTGCGATATATCAGATTAGTGCTCAACTCAGTGGGTTCAGTAAGTGCTAGCTGATCCCAGAAGCCAGTTATAACTGAATAGAATTCTTGTATATTTTTGTCCCCTTGACGCGCATCGTGAATCTCGTGCTTTAGCTGATACCTCTTTGCAAAATTAGACTGGACAAAAAGTGTGGCCAAATAATCCCATATTTCCTTAGTTGTGTCAAACTTGGATAGATGAACACCAATGGTCTGATTAACTGAGTTATTAATCCAGATGATAATTTTTGCATTGTTGATATCCCAAATACTCTTCAAAGAAACATAATTTTCAGCCTTAGTATCAGTTGGAGCTTGTGCAACACCACTAATATAATTCCACATATCTTTTCCCATTAAATTTTTTTTCATAACATAAGCTCAATAAACATAATTTCCACCTAGTAATCTCACACTAATGGCTTGAAGTGAGTTAGAATTTTCACTTGCCATTGTTATCAAAATTAAAACAATCAAAACCCTAGCAGTCACCAAACAACACAATAACACCAAAAGAACAATCCACAGTCAAAACCCAGAACAACAATCAACAAATAAAACAATAATACCAAATATCAAACAGCACCATCGAAGAACACTGCTGAAGCCACAACCTCACTGCCGAAGTCACCAAATACCAAACAACACCACAGAATGAACACTGCCGAAGCCAACCAGACATACCGAAACCTTCGGTCGTCCAAAATCAAGCCAAAATATTATTCAAAAGCTTTGAGTCTTTCAAGAGGTGACCCAGGAAGTTTAGTCGTGCCACTTGGAGAAGATTTAAACCAAAAATTACAGCAAAAAATCCTTATTTCAACATATTGAAGAAATTTAAAAATTTGGGCCGAAAATATTCAAAAAATAGAAACACCTACGAGATATGCTCAAAGTCGAAAACAAATCATACCAGGAGGAAACCCATGCAATTTC